ATTATTATTATTATTATTATTATTATTATTATTATTATTATTATTATTATTATTATTATTATTCCTGAGGGTATAGAAGATGAACTGAAAATAGTGAGGCGTGATTGGACGGTACATACATACAGACAGACAGACATTCACAAATATACCAATACACAAAGCGGAACTCGAACCCGCGATCTTCTGGTCCGAGACCGCTACGATAGTACTGCCTTCGCGTTCTCGGTCATCTCATCGGCTTTTCGCATTTGTTAATTTTTATTCAGATTCTTAAAAACAACGGTTTAACAATGTCTGTAAGTTGACATCATCAGGCTCCGAAATTTATAAAATGCAATTTATATTACGGTTAGTGAGAAATTCATAATTCAATGTTTAACTATTGTGATTGTTTGTTGTGTTGTGTACGTCATAAATTTCAGAGCCTGATGATGAAAATATATAGAAATGGTCGAAACATTCCTTTTTCAGAACCTGAATAAAAATAAATCATGTTAAGATATTTCTTTTTCGTCTTACGAATTCTTGGCAAGAAGAGAAAGTTATGTAACCGTGCGGTGGAAAACGAATTTTCCTCAGAAAAGTTTTATAGTCGGGCTCTGTTAACGAAAAAGTGGATAAATGTTGCTAAATTTAGTGGGGGAAAATCCTTTAACACGTGGTGCAACCAGAATCCATGTTTTGTCGGTTCTTGATACGAAAAATTCTATTGACGGCAAAACGTCCGCTGTCCGTCCGTTTGTGGTCAACGCTAGCGGCTAAACCGTAGAACAGATTTTCCAAAATTGATATTCCTCAAAAGATCTGGCTGATGTCGCGGCCCCTGGATTTTGAAACTGATATTTTAATTTTGGGGGGTAAGCCCCACAGACCTTTAGAAAATTTGAAGAAAAAAATACTAAATTTTTCTCTTAAAGTTTGTTGTTCAATAGTGCGAAATGCGTTTAAGAGAATTGTGCAGATCTCATTTCTCGAAAATTATTTAAAAAAATTAAAACTACTAAATTGATGATAAAGGTTTTTGGCTCAGACAAAGTATGTTGTACAAAATGAGGACTGTAAAAAAGGCCCTGTACATTTTTTTTGTTAGTAGGTTTGCGTAATTTGTGCATGATATTTACGAAAAAAGTTCTCAAAACCACTTAAATATTTTTGTTTAAATTTTCTTTACACATGTAATAAAGAATAGTAAGACATATGGTGCTAGTCAAATGGTCGAGTATTGCTCGTTTTTTCGAAAATTACAAAGAACAAATATAAAAGTAAAACATTGAAGATTGAGGTTATTGTCTCAGGCAAAGGCTGCTGAACAAAATAACCTCTTTACAAATTGTCATGCTCAATTGTTTGAAAAAGAAAAAAAACGAGTAGTTTCTACATAATCTGCATTTGAAGTTTACGAAAAAAACTAAAAAAACGCATAAATGCATAAATGCATAAATGCGTAAATGCGTAAATGCGTAATGCATAAAACGCTTGTTGCTTTTAACCAAACTCCGCCTGTGGTGTCTGCTAGGTGGAATGCTAAAGTAGGAAGTCACATCATCCCGGGAATTAAGAACAGGTTTAATGAACATGATCGCAATGAAAATGGAGAAACTCTTATAGATTTCTGCGTTGAAAACCAAATAAGAATAAACAATACTTTCTTTGATCATAAAGAACAGCATAAAACTACATGGATGAACACGAGAGGGCAAAAATCCATCATTGATTTTATACTTCTGAAATTCACCCATCCCAGATACTAGATCGGGAGCGGATATTGGCAGTGATCATAACCGCGTATTAATAAAACTACGAATGTTCGTTATGAAGAAAAATATTGCAAAAGAAAAACCGGAACTGGAAAAGATAGACATTGAAGCACTGAGTGCCTAATCCCCGTACCGCGCAATCCCCGTTGGCCGAGGTGATGAGTATTGTCTCATTGCTTCGGAGGTAAGGTCGGTATGTTCGTG